AAAACTACTGTAAAAAAAAGATCAATGTGGAACTTCGTTTTCCTTCTTGCCTCGGCTCCCCCGTGTCTGCACCTGAAACGATTCGCTCTTAGGTGGGAATAAACAGACTAAACATGCAGGATACGAGCACACAGACATTTTTGTGCAAAATTTGTAAATTTAAGAATTCCGAAAATGGGTTTGAGGGGACTCTTAGTCCGCGAATGGAGTGGGGACGGACTGCTCACCTGTCTCCGCTGTGCGAGCTCCTCGGCTGCCACGATGGTGTCCGAGCTGCCGGACTTGGAGGGCCTCTGCGGCTCGGCGCGCTGGTCGCCGTCGGGGACGTCAGAGTCCAGGCCCTCGAGGACGCACTCGGCGCTCTCCGTCTTGCTGATGCGTATCTCCGGGATGTTGCCGTCGGACCAGGTGGACGCCACCGAGTCCTCGCGCTCGCGGTGGGAGGACAGCGACGGCGAGTCCGCGGCGCGCCTGCGTTGGTGGTGGTGATGGTGCGGGTGGTGGTGGCCGCCCCGGGGCGGCTGGTGCGGCTGCGGTTGCGCAGGCTCCGGTGCGCGCCTCCTGAGCGCGTCCACCGCGTCGCGGATCCCCTGCAGACACCCGGCACTTACTTCACGGCCTCCTCGGCGACGGCCTTCCTCCCGCGCCGCGTCCGTTACCTGGCCGCCGTTGGCGCGCGCCTTCCGCGCCGCGCGGCTGCTGCGCCGGGTCGTCTTGCCCTTCTCGTCGTCCGGCAGGCAGTCGGGCTGCTCCGCATCCGTGGCGTCGTCGCCGTCCTGGGGCTCGCCGCCGGCCCCGGCCTCCTGCCCGCCGCCCTGGTCCGTGTGCACGGCCGACTCCTCGTCCGAGGTGGCCGACGACTTGCGCAGCGCATGCTTGAGCAGGCGGGCCAGGAGCTCTGCTGTGACAGGCGGCCAGCCATCAAGTCACGATCCCAAGACAAATCTTGGACAAATCCATCCCCGTGAATAGTGATTCCCGAGTAGGGTGACTTAATCAGTATCAAAAACGAAAATATTAACCCTGACCTCAATTGGAGAGCCATCGAAAAAGAATCCCGCCATTTCAAAAAGTGTGCACGATCCCCTTGCCCTTCTCCCTCTTCCCCACCCCCTACTCACCCTTCCTCCTGCTCGTCTCGGGCTTGGCGGTGCCCGCCTCCGCCGCCCCCTTCCCCGCGGCCTCGACCGACGCGGCCGCCCCCGCCGAGGGCAGCGCGGCCGTGAGCCGCTGCCACTTGTCGGCCAGGTCACCGCCGCCGCCGCCACGGCGGCCGTCCACGATCTGGAACATCTTACGGCGCTCCTCCGTGCGCTCGCGCCGCAGCTGGATCTGAAAAGAGTGCATGCACTCTTTGTTAATCTGGCTGGCTGAGGCAAATCTCACTAGGTCGCCTCGAAACAGATTATGCCTTTTAAGAAGGCTAGACTAAAAACATAACTATATACTCAAGTAGCCTTGTTCAGGTAGCTTTTCATTTTTATCAGAATTGGAATGTGTTACCTTGAGGTCGTTGTTGGCCTCGCGCAGCGAGTTTGTGAGGGAGATGAGGTAGTAGATGACGAGCGACAGGAGCAGCAGAAGCGGGATGATGATGCCGGGCGACGCCATGTAGTTGAGCGCGGCGTGCATGAAGAGCGGCAGGTCCTTCAGGGAGTTGGTCAGGATGTCGGCCGTGTGCTTGAGCTGCAGCAGGGAGAGGAAGTTCAGTGAACACAGTACTCAAGTGGGAGGATCGAGGTTGCGGAGCTTACGGTGTATAGATCACCTTTGAGAACGGGCCGCAGTATCGGGAGGGCGTGAGGCGGACCATGGTGTAGCCGACGGGCAGGACGCACAGGAAGAGCATGGTGAGCAGCAGCGCGAGGTAGAAGTTGTTGGAGCGGGAGGCGCGGAACACGACCTCGTGCGGCACGTTGCACGTGAGCACCGCCCACGAGCGCAGGTACATGAGCACGGCCAGCTTGACCAGGTTGATGAGGGGCAGCCCCGGCGAGAAGAACATGCCCATCCACACCATGCCCTGGTTGTTGACGAGGTGCAGGATGTTCTCGGCGATCTTGAAGTCGCCGTACTGCGGCATCTTCTTCTCGAGGTCCCAGCACCAGCAGTTGTTCATGACGCGGACGAAGACGGCCCGGAAGAAGTCGATGAGGAGGATGGAGCCCACCGTCATGACCAGGTCCATGACGGTCATCTTGACCATCTCCCGGCCGAACATGGTCTCCCAGCACAGGCGTCGCTTGTCGCGCCTCGTCTCTAGCTTGCTCTTGGGCTTCTTCCACACCGTGGCGTTGTTGTTGTTGTTGTTGTTGTTGGGGTGAAGGCCGTGGGCATGGACAGCGACCGTCGTGTGGACGGTGCCCGGGGTCGCGCCATGCGTCGTAGCAGTGGCAGTTGCGTTAGTGGTGCCCGCGGTGGGCGAGATGGGCGAGGTGGGTGAGTTGGTTGAGGTGGCCGAGGTCACCGTAGTGGCAGAGTTCGAAGAGCCGTCCTCGGCGGCCTCATCCTCCTTTTCCTCTTCCTCCGAAGACGTCGCCGGCGCCGGGCTGCTCCCTGCCTCCAGGTCGCTCCCAGACGACGACACGGGCATGAGCGTCGTCGCCCCCTCGGAGGGGTCGACACTGGGCCAGTCGGTGGACCCCGACGGCGACCCCGAGGAAGGGTTTGTGTCGGCTGTGGACGCGGAGGAGGAGGAAGGGGGTGCCGTCGAGGAAGGGCCTGTGAGGTCGTAGCCGCTAGGAGACAGACTCTGCGCTGACGGCGTCCTGGCAGCCTCGTGGTAGTCCACCGCAGCTGCTGCGTCCTCCAGGTACTGAGAGAGCGCCTCCAGTCCGCGGGTGTCGCCGGCTGCGTTTTGCCGAACGTGGAAGATGACGTCCTCGAAGGGCTCATCGGCGGTGGTGGACGACCCGGGGTATGACGAGGTCCATTCGGGTGACGACCATGACGACGAGGGTGGCGAAGACCACATCCTCTCGGACGTTGTGAAGTCCACCGAGGATCCGGGGTGGGGCGGCGACGTCGTGGAGCTGACCGGCTCGCCGCCGCCGTCGTCGTCGTCGGTGACATTGACGCTCGGCCAGGGTGGCGTGGGCGTCATGGTCGTCGTTGGCATGGGCGAGGTGGTGACGATTGGGAGGGACTCGAGCGTCGCGTTGTGTGTGGACGGCAACGTCGAGTTGGAGGGCGGCAAGACGGTTGTCGTGGAGGCGGACAGCACCGTCAGGGCCGCAATCAGGGCGGTGCTGCTGGTCAGCCCGCACGGGACCTCCTTCGGGCGGCAGTCGACCCCCGGCAGCTTCATCGGGGTGCTGCTCGGCGTCGTCAGCGCGGGCAGGGTCGTGGAGAAGCTGCCGTCGAGCGCAGCCATCTCCATCATCTCCTTCGACTGCAGAAGGAGACAAAACGATGAAATAAGAGAAACGTATCGAACCAGGTGTGTTCGACAGACTCCTCCCCCCTCCCCCCACCCCCTCCCCACGCACTGGAGGCGGCGGGGCGGGGTCAGCTGCGAGGACGGGCAGGCGGCCCGCCGATCGATATTGTGCTTGGAACACGATGCGTTCGCGGTAAGCTGGCCGCCGCGGGTCGCGGGCGGAGCGTCGCAGAGTTTGGCGCGACCCGACGTTGGACCCGCGAGCGACCGCGGCAGGGGGATGAGTTGTTTACGGGTTAGTCGACTTTGGCGTCCCGGCTCACCCGGCGCGCGGCACGCCGAGGAGGTGTCCGCTGCGCGGCGCTGGGGGTGGTGGCGGCGCTCGCGGGCCGCGGCCGGCTCTGGAGCCTGGAGCCGCGCACTGGAAAAACTACTGTTACCGAGGTAACGTTTTTCGACGCAACCAAATAAGGAAACGTTTGGTGATGCAACCTGTTTGTGATGGTCCTATCCTTTTGCATGGGGTAGGTTGCATCAGGAAACGTTACCTCGCTTGATCACATGATGAAACGTTCCCTCGGCAACATTAGTTTTTCCAGTGCGGGACACGAATCATCGAATGTCCGCGTCGGTGGTCCTGGTCCATAGAGAGGGATGGCTCAAAATTGATTTTTAGACAGTCCCTAAGACTGTCTCTACCAGAAGGGAAGCTGTTATCCATCTCTTGTCCCCTAAGCTAGCAAAAAACGGGCAGATGTTTTGAATGCGGTGACGGAAAACGACACTCTTGCTGACTGAAACTGTCATCAAGCCAAGTGTCTGTCACGCGACAGCTATTTTGAAGAGCTGACACGCTCACTCACCATATCGTTGATCTTCTGGAACAGGGAGAGGATGAGCGTGTAGATGTTGATGAGGTTGAGCGCCATGATGCGGCCCAGCTGCACGCGCAGGGTCTTGCGCGGGTGGTACTGCTCCAGCAGGCCGAACAGCTCGAACAGGATGGGGAAGATGGAGTTGACGATGTTGATGACGACGGTCGTCTCGTTCTGCCGCCAAATGTTGCTGTTGGCGTCCGGCTCCGTGGAGCGCTCCACCACGCGGACCACGGCCCACGCCGAGAAGACGAGCATGCCGAGGACGAGGATGTTGACCGCCACGCGCACCGCGAGCATGCGCCAGCTGCAACACGCCGCTTTAATTAAATTCGGAGCACGACAAGTCAATTGATGGTTTCCACTCGTGAAACTTGACGATTTGGGCCCGTCAGAAAAGTACTCCGTTTTGCTCAGGTTTTTTTTTCGACCACGGGAGCTCGGGCGCCTGCGAGGCCCAGGGTAGGCTATCCCGCAGTACACGCGTGCACCACACGCACGATTTTGCCTGCCTACCAGGCGCTATAAGAGCAAGTAGAGACTAACTTGGCAGAAATTTGTAACGGCGAACGGCGGGCGTACTTCCTGGATAACCCCTTTCCTTTGCCGTCAATATAAGTGCGGCGTTTCGTGGTACTCACTTCCGCTTCTCTCGCTGCCGCTCCGCCTCCTCGACGAGGGCCTCCTTGAAGCCCAGCACGGTGGAGGCCACCCGGTTGTGCGCCGTCTCCGCGTTGCCGATCATGTAGTCCCAGCCGGCGAACATCTTCCACGTGAACGCGCACTCGTCCTCCTTCTCGGAGAGCTTGCTCATGCGCGAGTTGGACGCCATCCTGTGAAAGAAGAAACCTGCCGTTGGAATACTCCACGTTCGGCACGGAGAGGAATGAGCGACAGTAGTAGTTTTCACAGACGATGATGCCTACTTGCGCAGTATGGCGACGAAGCTGTAGACATACACGGCCAACCCCGTCATGAAGTAGGCAAACGGCAGTCGGTAGCCCTTTCCGCACTTACTGCAAATAAATTATGGTTACGTAAAAGTTTAAAAGCGACAGTTGTTTCAGCTGGCCAGAGTCGGGAGGGTCACCTCTTGCCGGCGCAGTCCGTGCTGTCGCGGTCCGTGTAGTAGCCGTAGAACAGCGGCGAGTACCTGAGCGGGCCCTCAAAGTCCCACAGGGTGTACAAGTTGTACGCGGTCTTGCGCTCCTCGTCCAGCATCTCCTTGCGCTCGCCGGCAGTCTTCGGATCCGCCGTCAGGATCTGAGGGGAGAACCGCGTTGCTCTCGTGAAATATACGGACGTAAGACGGGAACCCAAAACCCAAGTGTGTGAATGTCACTCATAAAGCAACAAATATGTGAATATTTAAAAGAAAATTCACTTCTGTCTCTGTTAGGTGAACTAATTCGCATTCACACACACACACACATCAAGGGCGTGACTTTACTTGCGTTTCAAGTGTATTCCATACAACTGCTAAGTCCTGAAAAAACCTTTAATAAGCTGGTGTAAGACGAGGTATAAGTTATAAAGGGGCCCACCTCGGGGATGGAGACAAAGGCCAGGATGACGACGACGATGACGAGGTTGACGAGGCACAGCCAGCGCAGAAAGGTGAAGTAGGACGCGACCGCGGAGCCGAAGTGCGACTCTATCTCCTTGATGCGGAGCTCCCACGGCATGAGCATGTTGAGCAGGTTGAATATCTCTCTACGGAACCATTGCCAGCGCTGGAAGCACGTGTCGAGAAACGAGTGAAGTCAATCGGGAGAGGGCGGGATATTTGAAACGATGTAATCGGAAGACACGTCAAATAGGTAACATCAACGGCGATATGCGATATCGTTTCGATATCGTTACACCAGTCGTATCCCCTCGAGAACGTTGTACAAGTAGTTGGCCTCAGGGCCACAACACATTAACTCAGCTGTCGCCCACCTTGATCATCCACAGGTTGAAGCGCGCGGCGATGTCCTTGGTGGCGCGCGAGTGCGCGAAACGTTCGTGCAGCTGCCCCTCGTGGCGCTTCACGTACGTCTTGGCCTGGCGGACGAGGCGCAGCTTTCGCCGCATCCCCCACGGCTGCATCTTGACGCCGCCGAGGACCTCCTTGTGCACGCGGAGGTTCTCCAGGATCTGCTCCTGGGTCACTGGGCCCGAGCCGCCGCCGCCGGAGCCCTCCAGGGACACCGCGGTGCTGCGGAACAGATAAACGCTCTTGAAAACTCAGATATTCTGCTCAATAGCCAAGCCAATGACGTCAATTTTTGAAATCGTTTCGATATTGTTTCAGCATCGTTTCGATATCGTTACAACATTGTTTCGATTTTTAAAATTTTGCATTGGGTAACGGAAGGAAGGTCTCACTCGGCCGAGCTGGTGGTGAACACAGAGGAGCGGCGCCGACTCTGCGGGGCGCCGGCACTGTCGGCGTCCGGGCTGAACGGCGAGGACGGCCGGCGCGCGTGGCTGCCGCGCCGGTTGCGGCTCGTCCGGCGCCGCGACCGTCGCGTCGACGCTCTCCGCTGGATGATGGCCGACATGCTGACGGAGTAGTCCTCGTCGTCATCGTCGTCGTCGTCGTCCTGGTCGCCTAGCCCCGCCGCCGTCTGCGCACCGTCATACCGTGTCACCGAGAAAGCACCCCACTGCTAACCCCGTGACAGCAGAGAACACCGTCGTGCAGGTAGAACTCACCCGGTCGGCGGCGTCCTGGCCGTAGCCGTTGGCGGCCAGGGTGCCCGTCGAGGGCATCACGTTGACGCGAACGGACGCGTCGGAGCAGATGCTGCGCTCCTCAGCCGCGAACGTGACGGACAGCCGGTCCACCGAGGGCTGCGGGGACGTGGGCTCCACCTGGAGGACACGCACCACACGGACGGCACGGTGACAGCACGGCATTTTTAAATACAAATTTGTCTTAGAAATGATTTTTTTTGGGCAATTTCTTTCAATACCATTTTATTGCGGTTCAAACGAGTGTATATAAGATGGGGTTTAGAGCAACAATGCATCTAATTATTAACAAGATGGTGATTTCCAAAAGTCCTCATGGTGTCGTTGTTTGTGATTAGAACCCCATAATATACATACTCGTTTGAACAAGAATTTTACGAGGAAGACGATGGTGGTTTCAAAAATAGTTTTTCTTCTTAAGGACAGAAAATAGTTTTAGGAAGTGTGAGACACAGTGGTCTCACAGTATTAACTGTTAGAGTGTCTCATACTTGAGTTTGCAGAGTGGCCCTTTGGGTCCGCGGTGCTCACCTTGCGCAGGAAGGGCCGTATGGCGTACATGGGGGACTCCGGGACCGCGTCCGGGCGGCAGGTCGCTCCGAGGGTCTCCCGCCTGCCCGCCTGTTGCACTGCATGGTGCGCCCGCCGCGGCGCCCTACTCTCGCGGACTGAGTCCCTGACCAGGCCCGCTGCCGCCGCTCCCGAAAGGAAACGGTGCAAGATACCTCGCCCCGCCCCGCCGCGCCCCACCCGCTCACCGCGCCGCCGCTCCTTACCCTCCTTACTCACTGCCCAAGACAGACCGAAGCCGGCCGCCCTCTGAAATGGCGCTGGTCATGCAAGCCAACCCCCGCCGTGCCACGCCCCTCGTCTGGTTCTGGTCGCCCTTTAAACAGCGGCGTCAGGAAACACCACCCGCCGCACTACTTGCGAAAGAGATAAAAATTCTTCCAGCCTCGGAGGCGCCAGCGTGTTGAAAACGAAACGATATCGACCGCGGCAGCATTTCACACTTGAAATAACGAAAGTGTGTGAATGTCGCATACTTTTAAATATGAAAGTAGCACAGTTAGGGGAGTAAAAAAGTGAATTTTCTTTTTAAATTCACGCGTACGAAAAGTATTCAAACACGTACCTGTGTGTGACATTCACACACTTGTGTTTGTGGTGCAAGTGTGCGCGGTGCGCGCAGCCTCGCGGTGTGGTCTTCAAGCCGCGCCCCCCGCGCGCTGCTCTGAAATAACAATATTCCTGAAACGAGCAGCCACTGAGCCGCCTGCTTCGTATTTTCCAATAATTCCTCGCCCTTTTGTTCTTTCCGCACGCTCTCGTGTTTCGCACCCCTCGCATCCTCCCTCCGCCGCCCCCGCC